TTCCTGCAGTTCTTAACTGGATGACTTCTCTATTAACACATGCTGCAGTTATTGCACATGAGTATTACATTTTCAGAATCAGTAAAATGTATTACAAAGTGTGCTGAAGGTGTGAGGATTACTTTTATCCTGATACTAAGTGAAACACCAAAGCAAACTTCTGTATTTACAGAAGCATCAAGTATAAACACGCTCATGGAGATCTCTTACGGAGATCTAGAAAAATAAAACTGGTGAGTTAGGATGGTAAAAGTACAGTTGAAGTTTTTCTTTTTAGGAAAAATCATCTTTATTATCTATATTGTGTTTGCCCAAAGATAAGTGAGTATGTATGAAAATAAAATATATAAAATAAGTACATGGGGGGGGAATCATGCTTAAATGTCCAAATTTCACCTACTAAAAAAGCTTTTTTTATTTTTATTTTTAGCTGCACAGAAAATAAAGGATTATTTAGAATAACATGGCACCTGCATGTGAGAGTTTTGAAGAAAAGTACCTGATATTCATATTATCCCCCCTCCCTTTATGGATATGAACTAGGGAAAGACAAGGATGTCCTATCCATTTTTGACTGATAACAGCACATTAGTCATCTCCTCTCTCTCTTCTCAGAAACAGCAAATGTGCAGTATCATGCAAGGCCCCTGGAAACTTTGGCAGGGTGATAGTTTAGTGTTAGCCAGACTGGTTCAGAGTGTGAATCTTGCTGAAGATTAAATGAACTGCAGGAAACTCCCAGGGTTGCTAAGAGACACAGTATCTTCAAATGTCAGTTACCATTTCCCTCAAAATAGCTCAAAAATCATCCCCTGTTTGAGCTTGAGAAGTGCATGATTTCCTGGATTTTAAGAGAACTGGATAAAAAATCTTCAGTATTTTCTAACTGTCTAGATTTGGGTACATTTCTTCTCTGAGCCTTATTTTTTCCTCCTTTTCTGCTAACAGGAAGTGCTGACAGGGAATAATTTCATAAATTGCAGGACTCTCTACCTGTATTGTTTGAACTACATCACATCAGATAAAGAATGTATGTGAAAGAGGCAAAAATGGGAAAAAATCAAAATAAAAATTACCATCATAGAAGTTTCTGCCCCTCTTTTCTGTATATTATTTTTTTTAAAAGATTTATTTATTTATGCATACAGACCTGGGGTACAGGCCAGAGGTGCAGGGGTGGTGAGAGGCTTCACCACAGACAGAGTGGGGAGCAGAACAGGCAGATCATTGAAGTACATTACTGAGAGGAGCAGTGGGAGGGTCAGGAGAGGTCTGCCACACCATGTGGTCACCTCCTGGGCAGGCGGGGATTGAACTCATGCTGTGTAGCTTTAGTTTCTTAGTGCTGTGCTTTAACCCGCTGCACCACCAGGGAGGGCCTCTGTATATTATTTTTACAATGTTGAAATAGATATTTAAATCTCTGGTATGTGAACAAGAGGTGACTTGGCATCTCAAAGCAGTATTTAGGTTAGAAAAAGAAATTTGAGAACAATTTCTTTTAAGTTTTCACTTGCAAAAATAGCAATTTACTATTATTATTTAAAAGTAAACTAAGTAATATTATCAAGAACCCAGGTGTATCTTGGATCATAGTAAGGTTGATTTAGTCACAACGTGTTTTAAGCCCAATTTGCAAAGGCCCGGTGTTGTAGCATACAAAGTACATGCTAGATTTTCCAGTGGACATTGGCAAGTGAGATTTAAACAGCAGATAAAAAGGAATTGCAACTGATCCTTCCTTGACCTGTAAATGGGTATTTCTTAAGTACAGGCTGACACTGAGAGCCTGTCATGAAGCGTAACTCTGCTTTGGAGAAATAGATAAATCTCTTCCTTTGGTTCGTTCTTTCCCGAGCCCTCCCTGGATTTTCTCCATGGAATATTTAACCCCTAGTGCCTTTGACTTTGTTCCAGCTAAGTGTGCTAGTGACACAGCTTGAGTTCACACTTTAGTGAATCCTTATACTATTCCTCTTTTTTTTTTTCTGTGTGATGTATCCTGACTTCAAAGAGCTGAATAGTAGCTGCTGAGATTCAGCTGCTTGGTTTGGTATTAGACAGGAATGGCTCAGATTAGGACAATGCCAGTGGCTAATTACTCACCATGGGCCATAAGCAAGGCTACTTCCAAATGCAGAGACTTGAGTTTCCTCATCTGTAAATGGGATAATAACAACTATTAGACAGTTTTTTGTATTAAATTTTTTTCAGCATGGAGACTGAGAGATCAGTAAGTTTTCAACGAACGCTGAATGTTATCGCTACTGTTATTGTTGCTACTGTAATCGTTGTTATACTATTATCATCATCCTGTACAAGACCATATTATATCTATTATTAAATAAATGGCAAAAAGAGCATATCCAGGACTTTGCATTTAGTGGTTTTACATATGATCATATACAAATAAATATATTAACCTCAAGGACACAGGGATAATTATCATACACAGAAAACCTAAAACCAGGTAATTAAAAATTTCTTTCTTTACTTTGGAATGCCTCACACAATATTTTCAACCCACTCTTACTTAGATTAACACAAAAGCAAAATGAGATTGGTATTACCTGACATGAATCAGCAAATTTAGGGAACAAAAATTATCCAATGCAGACAAGAGAACTGAAAGGAAAATGCCTATGTATGTAGCTTACACACTTGGATTCAGTCCACATATAGAGAGTCAAAGTCAGCTTGAAAGAGAGGGAAAGAAAAGGGGCACTCAAAAAGTAGAAGAAAAAAAAAAAGAAAAGCAAAACAGCAATCAAACTGAGCAAGAGATCAAGAGTTTTCATATGACTATGTGAGAGTACCAGGGGTATTTTCCTAGAGAGGAGAAACTTATAGAGACCGGGTCTCACCTGCTGAAATTTGAGGCACCATCATGCAGATCATATAAAGGAAGGTGATCATTCTGTTTTGTTCCCAAGTATAAAATGGCACCAATAAATGAAAGTGTGAACACTCTTGGCTCAAGAGAGGAAGTAATTCTTAACTATTCCAGTGACCCTCAAAAATGGAATGGACTGCTCTAGTGTTACTAGTTCTTGAAAGGTTTAATTATGAACTGGATGTCATGTCAGGGATTTTGTAGGTGATATTTAGGGGAGAAAATGGGCTGCAATAAACAGGTTCTGTTCCTGTTTAAAATGAAATCAAGTTTTACAAAGATAAAGAATTTCTACGTTTTGTTTTCCTGAATATTGAGATAGAGAAAATGCCATTTACCAATCTTATTAAATAGACTGCTCCTGATTAAAATGTACAAGAAATGTAATTTGCCACGATGCCATGTACAACAATTAGACATTATCTTTGGACATTAAAAAATATATAGAGAACACACTAAATTATCTTCAACTTTTTGAAATGACTTTTTAGAAACTACACAGGAGAAGAGTACTGGAAAATACCTTTTAACTCTTTAAATTTTTCATAATATTATGAACCATCTCAGATACATGACAATTAACCACTATGAGTTACATGGGCCAAATCTTTCAGAAACCCTGAATTATCATTGGATGTTATAATGATTATGCTCATGAAAAACTCCCACTTTGAAGATCTTTATGTCACATCTAATTCTAACAGTCTTCTGTTAGGTATATTTAGTATACCCATTTTACAGAGGACAAAAATTGACAGACCGTGAGATCCAGAATCTTCTTCCAGGTTACCCAGCTAAACGTGGAGTGTCTGACTCCTCAGACTATTCTTTCCACTATGTCACACTTCTTTCAACCACTTCCTTTCTTGCTGAACAAAGTTCAGGTCAAACGTCCAAGCAAGGATGATGTGCTCCTGACACACCTCCCAATTAAACCCTATAATTTCTAAGTCTGAGTTGGAAATCCTGTGGCTCTGTGTTCTTGTCTGGCTTGAGCTGGAAAATGTTTATTTTGAGATATGCCTCTCTCAGAATGGCTGGATATTTTTGATGACCATTGATAGATGAACCATGTTAACTCGTTCATCTCACAACTGAGGGTGTCCTTCCACCCCCTGCTCTCCACTTGGGGTCTGTTTTAAGGAGGTTGTGAAGGTTATTAACAGATCCATGGTGATTAAAAATAGAGCCCTGAGTTTCAGCCAACTCACCATATTTATGGTTTTGGGCTGCACTGCAACTGTTGTTGGTAATTATAGATGCGTGGGTGAGGATGGGTGCTGATGAACAGTTCCTTCTCTTAGTTTCCTCTTTGTGCAGATCCAACTCTGAGGGTGTCTGAGCTCATGATCCTATCAGAAAGCCCCTCTTGTCAAAACACTGATGTATTTCCTGGGCAACTGAAGTAACCAGGAAAAACAAAAGATTTCAAGGTACTCACCATTTGGGCTACAATCTCTGTACTCTGTAGTCCATGTCTTCTTTAAAAGAAATGTGACATAAAAAAAAAAGTTTTTGATCCTCCTCCCTGTACTAGTAGAAGCAAGAGAAGCAAGATTTCCTCTTTGTGATGGCAAAGCATTTCCAAAGTCTTTACAGATAAATGTGTAAAGAGGATTAATGGGTTTAATTGAAATGATAATCCTCAGGAGAACTCAGTGGAATCAGGCAACAAAATGTTGTAAGCTAAATATAAGCTATTATGGTACCTCAAAGTTTCATGTGATTTATACTAGTGGAGAATGGGGGTCAACTTTTCGATTATCTGGTGTACTAAAGAGAAACAGTTGGTTATAACCTAGAGGTGCTCCTGAGTTGACCATGTAGCTGTCGGACTAGACTCATCTGAGTCTAACTAGTCCTTTGAAATTGGAATGTGCTAAAGAGACACCAAGGGAATAAAAATAGCTGAGAGAAATAAAGGGGAAAAAATTATGTCACATTCACAGTACACACTTAGGTAGACATTCTTCCTCATTCTCCAACCTTGCTCCATGTCTTTGGGTGAGAGCAGCAGAAAGTCAATGACAGGAAAAGAGAAACTGAGGATCTCTAGGAGGTTTCGTGTACTTCAAACTTACAGGTTCCTGTCTTTTCCTTTCCCTCTCGCAATCAAGTTCCTCTGCTCTGATAACAGGCTAAGCAGGTGGTTCTTCAAGCTCTCTAGAGGACATGGATCAGGATCTAATGAGGTAGATGAAACCAAAATTAAAATATTCATGGACAGGGTTCTGTGATCAAACAAGCTTGTGACAGGTCAATAAGCAAAAGGTAAGCAATAAAAGCAGTCAGTCACAAAAAGCCACATGACTTCATTTATATGAATGTTCCACCAAAGCTATAGATAAAGTAGATTAGTCATGCTCAGGCCTGAGAGGCCTGGGAGATTGGACAGTGATGGCTCCAGGGTAAGGGATTGCTTTTTGGGGTGGTGAAAATATCCTCAGTTTGATTGTGGTGATGGATGTGCATCTCTGTGAATATGCTGAAAGTCACTGAAGAATAGAATTGAGTAATTTGATGGTAGGAGAATTCTACCTTCATTAAGCCGTTAAAGAAGAAGGTAAGAACTGGTGTATTAGATAAGCTGAGCTTTGGAAAACCAGAAATGTGAGACAGAGGCAGCTAACAGGAGTGGGAGGTCCAATGAGAGTGAACAAGTTGCTCTTGGTACAGGTTTTATTTAGTTCTAGCAATAGCTCATGTTTTGTAAAAGGTTGAGAAGGATGTTTTCTTCATGTCAAAGATCACTGGAGATAACAAAGTACAGAGTTCAGTGGACATTTTTCCTCACTCTCTAGCCCCAACAAGATCATTAGAATTGGCTTCTCCTATTCCAAGGGCATGAATTTGTACAAAGATTGAACTGACTTGGAGAACCTCTTTTATGATAGAATTATAACTATGGAAAAATTGGCACCTTTTCATTCCTGAAGACTAACTAGAAATTAAGCTTGTATGTTGAGATCCTTGGAGATTAAGTGTTCTTCCAGGTGGCATATTTTTGTGTGTGTTTATATTTTATCAGGACCTCATTCAAAGAGTCCCAAAGTTGGCTAGCCATTGGAATAAGGAGGTGGTTTTAGTTATATATGAGTAAAAACCAAAATTATTTCAGTATTTCTGCAACGAATAATGAATAAAGAGCCATTTGTGCAAGATCCAGTTTTAGATACAGTGACGTGAGACTTTCATTTGGTATTTAGCATGTGCTGATCATTTTATAACTCTTCAACCTCATCTCTCACTTTGTGTCTCATAGAGATGCAGATCTGTGGCCACATAAGTGTCTCTTTATGCTTATGCTATTCCTTCTATCTAAAACATCTGTTCTCTTTTCCACAATTGACTAATTCCTACCTAATCTTCAGGAATCTTCCAGGGAGCTTTCTCTTAATTCTCAGGACAGTCTGGGAGTCTTTCCTTATGTCCCCTTAAAAGCCTTCTTATACTCTGTCAACACATTTTAACAAATGTGTGTTAAGCTCCATTGCAAAGAAACGATACAGTAGCCACCTAGGAAGTTTGGCCAAAGAAATTTGGTGTATTCCCTCTTAGCCCCAAATATCACTCCAATAAGTAGGCCCATTCAAAAGAATCATGGAGTGGTAAGTCATTTGAAGTGTCAACAAAGGGTAGCAAAGTCAAACAAAGGTCCACAAGGTCAAGGACAAAAACAGGTCTTTAAATATTTGCTAAATTGAGCTGTGTGTAGTCTTTGACTATCAATTGTGTAAGTATCTTATATTCCAAACTTTTAATATCATAGACACTTCTACCCTACAATTACTCACCCACTGAGTTTAGGTGTTCATTCATTATCTAACTAATGTTAGATGTTCATTCATGGGGGCGGGGAGGGGGGTAACAGTGGGTTTCCCCTAATGGAGTTGCACAACGATTTAGTTTTGACCATACACCATCTTGGTCATGAACATTCATGCAATTTTCTGGCTATTCAAATATTCATTTACAAAAATAAGTGAGAAACAGAAAAAGAAAGTGTGGGTATTAGTGAAAATAAGTACAGAGTTATCCTTTTAATAACATTAATACAAAGATAGAAATCACTAGATGTGCTAAAAGTGGCAATCTTGGATGCTCAATAATTAAGGTTGATTGCATGTTAAATTATGGAGAAAAGGAACAAATTAAAGCACTCTGATGAAATTCGAGAATCTGAGTCTGTAGCTTGATATCCATAACATTGATTTTCAGTGTTTTTATCAATACCTGACATGTCAAAGCAGGAAGTGGCTGATGTCATGTTAGATATTCTCAAAACCTTTTCCATTCACAGAATGGAACTAACACTTTAGGAAGAAATAACAGTCAACTGAGAACAAAACTCAAGGATTTTATGTTGGCTATCACTTTATCACAAAGTGCCTAAAAAGAGACATAAAATAAGAAAGCTCTAGATCACCTAGCAACTGTGTCTTCATCAAGTTACTTAGTTCTTCAAACCTGATTTTCTTCATCTGCAAAAAAGGTGATCATAACATCACCTTCCCCACTGGGTGGCTACAAAAGCAAATAAGTGAATTTGTCCCATGCACTTAGTCCAGTACTTGGTAATACTTAGAGCTGATAATAGAGAAGCTTTTCTCTAGGAGGAAAGAAGGATGAAGGAAGAAGAGGGACTAAACTTGCTCTAATTCACAAATTGTCTAGAGCCCCACAGGATCCTGAGCTCTATTTAAAACTCTGCAGAAACACCACTTCTATTACTGCTCCTCATTTACCCACTGGGTCATTCTGGCTTCTGGGGTGAGTGGGTGTATGCTATTTATTCACCTAATGACTCCTTCCAAGCTAGAGAAGTTGGAAACCCTGACGGTTGTTCTACCCATTACTTCTTTCATTTCACCACCTCTGCTCTCAAGAAGGTGTGTCTCCTGTATTATTGTCACATCTGTATATTGATTTTTCAGTTACCAGAGGCTTCCAACTTTTGAAATAGGTTAATACAACTCTGCAGTTAAATTAAAAGAAATTGGGTTCAGGATATCTGTGAAGAGCAGACCAAGGGCAAAGTGGCTCTGTGTGACAGGTGCCAGGTATCCCCACTTGCTGAGACATGTGCTCACCACCCTAGCTTTCTGTGTTTGTTCTGCCCCCACAAATGCCAGGACTGAACCCCCTCCCCATTTGGACACCATTCTTGCCGGTACTCATCTTTAATGGTTTATCAGCATTTAATGACATTATTTATTGCTGTTTAACATTTATTATTAAAAGTCTTTACTTTTAAGAGTGTATCTAGACTGCAAATGCCCTCAAGAAGCAGTGACAGTAGAAATAGGGGGCTGAAGGGGAGCAAAAAACATGGAGGAAAATGAAGGCATGAGAACCACGAAAAAATGCTCAAGGTTATGCTGCCCAAGAGTCCAGTCCAGGACCTAGAACCCCATGGGAAGAGCTCAGTAGTTTCAAAGTGTACACTCTTTTCTTCTCCTGTTAAGTTGTCCTAGTGTTTTCACTTGTGCAATACTTGCAGACAAAATCAGTAAGCCTAAAGATTTTGGTAAACGAAACTGCCACAGGCAAGCCTTCTGACAGCACTGGCAACACTCATGTCTCTGCGCATCTGCTGGTGGTCACTCACATCTCCACTGAACTGACTCCAACACCCACCACACCACTGTTTTGTCCTCTTTTAAGGCCACCAGAAGCCTTGTTCAGTGTGGCTTCCAGTCTTGGCCTCACTGGCCTCCCAGAAGGATCTGACACTGTCTACCAACTTTTCCTTCTTTACCTTCTTCCCCCTCTTCAACATAGCTTCCCTTCTTCTTCACACTTTCTCTTTATGGCTACTCTACTTTTGCTCAGTTGATGAGTCAAAGGACCTGTCCTTGACTTTGTGTCATTCTCACAGGAAAAAGGCCATCTTCTGCCATGTTTTTAAGTATAACCTACCTAGAAACAAATTTCATGCACTTTTTCTTCATCCCTGACATGCCTCTGAGAGTCAGAGCCACATAACTAACTGCATGTTGGGCCTCTCTACTTGAATATCCTATCAGCATCACAAAGTCAGAATGCACAAAACTGAATTCTCTCTTACACCTTCTTCTCCCCATGTCATCTATAATCACTCAAGTCAGAGCCCTCAATGTCATTTTAAACTGTCCATTTTCCTTCAACTCCCAACCTCCTCTCTCTACTACATATCCACTGAGTCTTAGGAATTTCATCTTTAAAAAACTTTCTAATCCTTTCACATAACCCATTGTCTTATTTGCAACTCCTACATCTTTCTTGAATTATTTTAAGGTCCTCTCAACTAGTTTTCTTGCCTCTCCACTTGCCACCTTCAGACATACTTCTCCTATAGATAACCAAGTATCTTTAATTGAAATTGAATTTTCAAATGAAAATCTGATCATTTGCTTACTTAAAGCATAGACAGAGGCTCCCATTGCTCACACAGTAGAAAAAATAAAAACACCCTTTGCAGAGTCTGCAAAGTGCTTTTGGATCTGGCTCCAATTATTTTACCTCTACTCTTCTTCTTTGCCTCTCTCCAACTCAAAACTCTAGAAGTTTCCCCAAGTATCATGCTATTCCATGTCATTTCAAATGCAATAAAAGAAAATGTTTAATCTGTATTTGTACCTTGGTCCCACCTCGACACTTATTTATTCATGAATTCTTTAGGTTTCTGTAACGTTTATCGCCTTTCTTAGAGAGCTGAGTGTTTTCTCTGTTCTGCCTCCATGTATCTTTATAAAGTATGTACCACACTTATTTACATGTCTGTCTCTGCTAGATTGAAACTCCGTAAGGCTGAGGATACTGTTCTTTTAGTCTTTGTTCACTCTATGCCCAGGACCTGCCATAAAGCAGAGGTTTGTGCCATGTGTGATCAGTTAGAGAGCATGGTACATCATTATCATTTGAATCAACTGGAAATAAAATCCCAATAAGCCACCTTTGACAGTTTCAGTTTCAGACTCAGTTGGTCAGTCTGGGCAAATGGTCTCAGGCAGAGTAGCCTAATATTCCTTCACCATTTCAGAAGACATCCAACCATCCATGAAGTGTTCTCTGTCATTGGCTGAACAGGAATCAAGAGTGACCCTGCTCATAGGGTGGCTTTTATTTCTTTTTGCCCAAATCCCACACATGATGGATTATGTATCTTGAAGGTCATAGTTTTGGGGTTTCTTAGCAAACAAAGCATCAGTAAAGAAAAAAAAAAATTCACTCTGGGATTTGGTGAGACATGTTGATTTCAAAACACTGCAAATCATTAAATGAGTAATGTTAATGTGATCTCAGAATAGTAAACACACCCCCAGATGGATAATGATATTAGTTGCATTATCTGGAAAGAAAATAAAAGAAACACTTGGCTGCAAGGTCTATGAAAGAAATGTCTATATGGGTAAATCAAGTTCTGATAAGGCAGGTAAATTACATTTTTTGCACTGGGCATACATATTTCCAAACCAAATCATTCCCCTGGGGTACAGTGTGTGGTTTGGTGGAAGTGAAAGGAAGTGGGAAACACACAGAGGAAGAAAACAAAGACCTTCGTTTTCTAAAACTGTCACTCGCTCTGATTAGGAAAGAGTTTCTCAAGAATTATGAACGTCCTGTACAGGAAGTAAGACTTCATCACATGGCTGGGATTAGCTGTGCGCTTGTCAAGGATTGGTTTTTCCCTTCTGTGGTGAGAGGACAGCCCCAGGCAGGTTTGGATACCTTCCCCAGCAGCCAGAACCTCATTTGAATACATTTAGCACAGGCCTTCCAAGCTGTTCCAAGGCAGTCATCCCGTTACCTCAGTTTCATGTGGAAGATTCATAATGGTGGAGTGGAGAAGACAGGGTAGTTCTTCTGTAGCTTCAAAGGGTTTACATGGAGTGAAATCAGTACTTTCCTCCAAATAGTCTTTTCTGAAATAAAACAGTGTGGCTGCACATATATCAAATAAAACATTTTTCTTTTCACCCTTTATTTTAATTACTTTTCCCCTTTTCTCAATTATGGCCAATTATTGCTCAGAATCTGGTATTTTTTGAAGTCTTTTATCCTTAAAGAAAGAAAACAACATAATCAGCTCATTCACTCAGGTGCTGGTCATTCCATGTAACCAGTGTTTACATTAGAAGAGGGATTAAGTACTTTGCCAAAGGAATAAATTTCTAATGGTGAAGTGGCTATTTCTATCATGAGATCTATTGGGACTTTCCAGTGCCTTTTAAGTACTAGTACATTGATGACTATGGTGATGAGGACACATAAGCATGACCCTCATGCCTGGATCAGACTTCATTCCTTGACAAGAAGTTCGTTTCTTCATGATCTGCTTTTATACAGTACATATTTTAGTTATTTGGCTTATTTCAAAAGTATTAGGCAGAATAACTTAAATTTCAAGGGTCCTTGCCCCATGCCCAAAGATACTTACCATATTGCCACTCTATCCAGGACTCCCTCAACAGAGAGAACACAGACTGAGAAGGGACAAAAGAAGTTGTCATCCATGATGCTGTGATGGTGCCTATTTTAAAAACCCAAAATAATCCTATGGTAATCTTACAACAGATAAATGAAGGTATTTATCCAGTCACTCATTCAATAATCACTGGTTAAGCTCTGACCATGTGCCAGAAATTTTTTTTAAAGATGTATTTTTTTTTTTAAGATTTATTTATTTATGTATACAGAACTGGGGTACAGGCTAGAGGTGCAGTAGTGGTGAGAGGATTCACCAGAGTTGGAGTGGGGAGCAGAGTAGGTAGATAGATGAAGAACACTGCTGAGGGGAGCAGTGGGTGGGTAAGAAGTGGTCTGCCAAACCATGTAGACCTCTGGGGCCAGGAATCCAAATTGCACTGCAGCAGCTGCAGCTAGCTTGCAGTGCTGCATCCTAACCCGTTGGTGCCACCAGGGAGGGCCCGTGCCAGGAATTGTTCAAAGAGATGCACCAAAGAACAAAACTGACCAGATCCTTGTTCTGGCAGACCTTAAGGTTAGAAATCAATTTAAACTATTTCTGTCTATCTCCAGAAAGCAGAACTGGGACAAATGGTAGGAGTCTCAGATTTCAGTTTCATGTAACATATAACCAAATATGGAGTGGTAATGAGCTCCTTGTCACTAAAGGGTGTTTAAAAAGGAGCGGCCCGACTGCTTGTTGCAGAGATTCATGCAGAGTTAAGCTAAATCCATTGTCTTTGATTGTTTCTTTTAGTGGCAGTGATCTTTTTTCAAACAAAATCTATGTAGCTCCAACATATTAAATAGGATAGTTGCTATACCTGTAATGGAAAATATGAATCTAGAGACCCACTGAATATATCTCTGTCCATTAAATCCTAGCTATCCACAAGCTAATAAGTTAAATGATTGAGAAGCTTCTCTGTTCTAGTGTAGCAGAGCCTGGGAATCTAAGTAGAAAGGCCTAAGTTTCATGATAGTCTTCCCTACTTTTGTTTTCCCATAAGAGAGTCTGGAGAAACCAGAGAAAAGAAGCACAGACTCTGAGGGCATCATTGGATGTGAAATGAAAGCTATTTGACAATGTCAACATGGGTCAAAGATATTGTTTTGTTTGAATGGACATAAAGATACAGCACAATTTCTCCAGCTTCAAAAAGAGGCCATTTTCTAGAATTATGAAGCTTGAGAAAAAGCCAACAGGCTCAGTAACACAGAAAGGACATTAGGGGAGAAAAAGCATAAGCCCAGGTAGAGAGAAGGTATTCCTAGGCCACTCTCTGAGACATGTTAGAACTTACTTGCAACTTTCTGACATATGTTTACTTTCTAGCAATGGACTCTATCATCACATCCTCTCAGATGTAACAGGTGTGATTACGGGAGTATACATTATTCTGCAATCTGGAGCAGGAAGTTGGAGAAACAATTCCCTCTTAGTATTCCATATGTGGAAAGTCCCATCCCCTTTGGGCACAGTGTGCTTGAAGAAGTAAGCTTACAGCATCTCAGAGGACTCTGGAATGAGTTGTGTTCACTGGCTTGGGACTGGTGATAGGCTGCTGGAGAGGATAATCTCCCAACTAGAATTTTCCTGACAGTTCCAGGAAAGTTAACTGTAACTTGATCCACATCTTCTAGCTCCATGGTCTATCAAGTTTTGAGTTAAAGTGAATCCATAAAAAAATTTCTGAAATCCATGACTTTCCAAATATGTAGCATACTTGAAAAAATGATTTGTGGAGAGATGCGAATAAGTGTTACTCAATGAAATTCTGAGAAATATTCTGCTTTAAACAAATTAAGCAAATTTCATTCCTGGAGGATTTTTCAGGACTCTGGCAGTGCCAAAGTGAACTTTGACCGTGTTTATACTATACACATAATGTAGTACATTATTTCCCAATTTTATTTGAACTGAAAACACTTTTTTTCTCATTGGCAATTTAACACACTTTGGAAAACCAAACACTTAGCCAAGTTATATTAATTTAGAGCTTTATCTTTTATTAAAGTAAACTAGTGTTTCCAAAATACACCATTGCCTTATCCACTATTTGGGAGATAAGACCTCACTAAGATGGATTGTCTGCATAATTGAAACTACAAACACCAGAACAGTTAAGCTACTTTGTCTGAAAATCTTTCTAAAATATACTACACAAATATCTACCTTTGATAATTAAAAAAATATATATTCCTGAATAAAAGGCTGAACATGCTTATTTTTAGACATTGGGAATTTGGGGAAAAAATAAGTAAGGCAAGAGTTATTCACCAATTCTTATCTCTGTTAATATTTGACGTAATTTCTCCCATCCTCTATATAAAATGTATGTATGGTAATATATAGAATATAGAATAAATGGCACAACTCAACACTTTCTGTCATTAAACTTTCTTTGAACATATACTTTAATGGCTATTATAGTTTATAATATGGATATATCACACTTCATTTAACCATTACTTTCCTAGGCTAAACCAATGGTTTTTATTATAAATAAGGATGAACTTCGTTTTGTCTTCAGCTCTATTTTTAAATAAATGCCTATTACTGGGATTCATATGTCAGAGTATATAAATATTTATAGGCTCCTGATAAATACTTTCAAATTATGTTCCAAAGGATTTGTACAATTTTTACACTCTCAGTAATTTAGAAGACTGGTATTTTATCATGCCTTCACCAAAATTTAAGGGTTAACATTTTATGTTACATTACAAACCAAGGTTGCAATCATTTGACCTTGAGATGTGGAGATTCTGGATTACTGAGTGGATCCAGGGTAATCACAAGGGTCCTGATAAATAAAAGAGGGAGGCAGGAGAATCAGTGCTGAAGTGATATGACATGAAGATCTGACCAGCCATGGAATAGCTTTGAAGCTGGCAGGGGAGGTTCATCAGCCAAAGAATCTAGGCAGCCAGAAGCTAGCAGCTGGAACCCTTAAGCAAAGCACTCTCCCTGAGAGCCTCCAAGAAGGAATGCACAGGATTTGAGCCCAGTGAAATCCATTTCAAATTTCTGACCTCCAAAGTTGAAAGACTGTAAATTTGTGTTGCTGTAAACTAGGGTTTGGAGTAACCTGTTACAGCAGCAATAGGAAACTAGCTCCCTGGGTCTGGAAGTTTGTTATATAGAAAACAGCATGGGTTCAGTGCTTAACCTCGATGACTGTTACATTGGCTGCTTTGAGGCTTTATTCCCCCACTTTCCCAATTATTTCCATGGTGACTGGTAATCTAACCTATATCTAGAGAGCCTAAGTAGGGCATTATTATTTTACAAGAAGTGGCCCCTTCAAGTTAAGTCATAAACATTAGGTCAAAGGGTGAAGTAGAAGGAAGCTGAAGAGACAAGTGTTCAAAAAGTTTTTCTGGGAAATCACAAGTCTAGGCCTTCGACCCAATTTGGAAGTAAGAATGTTTAGGAGAAGTTCACGGCCCCTAGACTGAGAGATAATATTACCTGTTAACATCTACACTGAATGTAGATAACGATCACGATCGCTCAGTAAAACCCCTTCTGTCTCTAAAAAACGGGTAGATCAAGGATATGTAACACAAAAAATCCATTTAACAGAAAGTCTTGGGCTGCAGTGATTTTGTGACATCAAGAAATTTGGATCCAATCCAAGTGGTAGAGCATGAACTAGGCCACTGTAAACCCAGGTGGTCTTCCTAAAGAATACCAACTAAGAATAAAGGAGAAGCAGCAGAGAACGCCTCCCTGGTGGCGCAAGGGGCTAAAGCACAGCACTGTGAAGCTATACACAGCCACTGCAGTACCAGTTCCATCCCTGGCCAAGGAGCTGACCCACATGGTGCAGTAGACTTCTCCTGTCTCACCCGCTACTCCCCTCAGCAGTGTATTTCAATCTGCCTGTTCTGTTCCCCACTCTGTCTCTGGTGAATCCTCTCACCCCCCACATATCTGGCCTATACCCCAGTTCTCGTATGCATAAGTAAATGAGTATTTTTTAAATTCTTACAAAACATCTAGAATATTTGCCCTGTGACTGGTAAGGGACTTAGACTAATTTGTGTGATGGACCTTCAAAGGTTCTAATGTACTATCTCTGTATCCCTAATGTCATAAAAAAGATCATAAAAATGATCTTTTTATTTCCAAGGGAAGGCAAAAAAAAAAACCAGTTTTCTCTCATTTGTAAGATGTGGAATGACATGTGAGGAAGAAAAGCAAAATGGTTATAGGTAAAGAGAGAATGATATATCTTAATCTCATAATTTAATATGTAGTTCTAATAATGTATGCCTGGCATTTAGAAAGAGTGCCTGGTATAAATTCACTGAACAAATAATGACTGTCATTATTATTTGCCCATATTTTACATGTTCTGCAATAATTACAAATTATATAAAATAATAATGTCATAATTTATAACAAGACAAAAGAATACATAGTTTGTTAATTTATGAGAAAAGAATAACTAATGAAGGATGAGAAGACAATCTTTATGGGGATGAGAAGACAATCTTTATGGATATATCCTGGCATTGTGACACACATGAAAACGAGTGCATAGATTTAAATATATTTTCTTGGCTGTGTTTATTACTTAAAGGATGAAATAGTGAATCTGCTAGAAGACTATTTCTTTAATGTATTAATACAACCATTTATGAATAGGTTGATTTAGAGGGTCTTATTGAAATGGAACACCACAGAGACACAAATGAGCGTTTCACTCATTTCATTTTGGTGTAGAAACTACACCAAAAGTAAGGTGACACAGAGATCAGAACAAAACAAAATTACATAGCACAAATCAATTTAAAAAGAACTGCCCCTTCCAATTAGAAATTTTAACTCTTTGTTTGCTATGATGAATGTAGACGGGATCACATGATCACATTCATTTACTGACATTGAAGAAATGTTAGAATGGATGTACAGCTAAGTGTAGACAAGTTATTAAATGTAGATAATTTATGTTTAATATGCATGACTACATTTAATATGCACGATTATGTAAGGAAGTTGATCAATGTACAACTTCAAAACCACCATATTAGTT